TTTTTAACTACAAACAAACAAACTTCTTGTTAAAAATACTTTTTATTTGATAAGCATTATTAATTTCGCATATTTGCTTGATATTAATCCTGTGTTTCAAATTATTGAATTATATAAGTGATATATTTTTTCAAAAACAATAACAATAATATTTTTTGAGATGATCTTACCTTCTTTTCTTTCAGCAAATACTGGGAACATTGAAACAATGATGAGGATTTGTACACCAGCCGTGACAGCCATTTTCAGGTTTTTAGTGTTTGCTACCATGACGTTTCAGTAATAGAAACAATCACCTGAGAAAAAATAAAAATTTAATACTCTGGTTTGTAATGATATACACATAAATAGACACTTAAAATATTTGTAATTACGTTAATGTAGATTAATTAAAAACGTATCCCGGGTTGCAATTAGGATATATCGTTGTTGGTCTCTAAAAATAACATGAAATCACCTAAAGCCTTTATAGAAAGAAACCGTGCATTACCTACAAATAAAAATAAAAAATAAATAAAGACAAGTGAGATAATGAAATCACTAGTATCGTGAATGATATTTGGAGAATATGTCGTTACCTGTAGCAATGTGTTAAACGAGCTAGGGATTTCTATACACTTCTTTATATCATGGGCGTGTAAAGTGAAGTGGGTAAAAACAATTACGTGACGCATGCGTATGGAATACCAATTCAACAGAAAGTTTCAAGTGTTTAATGAATCAGTCATAAACCTCACCATAATGAACTTAAACGTTTTTTGTTTACACTGTTATACATATTTATTCGAAGAGTAACGAGGTACAAAATAGGCCTCCAAAGGAAGGAAATCGGTTTCCAAATATACATGTATGTATTGAAAAAACTACTTTTATTTGAAGTTATGTTATTCTGACGTAGAGATTTGACACCAGCATATCTGAAAAGCTACTGTAAAAACTACTGTTCCGTAAGAGAATATTCCGTAACACAAAATAAATCATCGTTCTATGTGGAAAAAAATAATAACTTGGATTTTAGATGTTATCTACCAAAAATACTTAAATGAATAAAGCATCGCTTACCTATTTTTTACTTACATGCTATTGGTGTAAAAAAAATAATGAGATTGTTGAATCTGACATGGAAAAAAAGTCATATGTTAAATCACCTTTTTAGCTGGTACAGATGGTGCAGATTAATACAGCTCTGGACAAAGTAGTTTATACTGCTAACTTAAGAAGAAGGGTGATTACTGGAACACAAAAACTCTACACATAGGCTAAGCGTACAGTTTCCCAGCTATGTCATAACTTGGAGAGGGAATGTGACATGCGGTTTACAGTTACAAGTGGTCAACATCACCACTTCTATTTGTATCAGAAACCAGCTTCTGTTTAGAGTTTGACTTGGCCTGTAAATCAAAACTGATTATGGCTTAATTAGAAACTAAGGAAATGATATAGTAAAGACAGCTGGTGATGAAAGATTTTTACTTTTCTTCCTAGTTTTAATGGTGCACCTCGTCAAGATCAACAAACTTGACAGATTAGACTTGTGGGGTTCGAGGCCCATTAAAAAACAAAAACAAGTGTTGTTCGTTCGTCAATAACTGTACTATTCTCGTAGACTACAGCATTTATAAATATTGTTCGTTCGTCATTAACTGTACTATTCTCGTAGACTACAGCATTTATAAATATTGTTCGTTCGTCATTAACTGTACTATTCCCGTAGACTACAGCATTTATAAATATTGTTCGTTCGTCATTAACTGTACTATTCCCGTAGACTACAGCATTTATAAATATTTTACCTTCTTATTTTTTCTTCATGAAATAATTTCAGTCGACGTTCTTTTGTTTTTGTTGAAATCATAGTATAATGGTTTGTCTAAGGGAATACAAATAAAACCTATTTCAGCGAGGTTTTCCTGTAGCACGAACACTTTCATAATCGTTTCGGCAAGAGAGTCGTTCTGTAAACACCATTTATCAGAGCTGTTGGAAACTACGGCGATATATATGTATCCTTCCCTTTTGGAATATAATTTAATTTTCAAGTACAAAAATACATAATTTTTTCTTTATATTTTCAAGTCTTTTTCTTGATATTTTTTGTATATGTAATATATTTTCGCTTTTAATTTTCTTCCGCCAATATTACATTAACAGCTTTGCCTATTCTTGATATTTAGATATCAGTTTTTTTCTAATTTAGGAAGATGAATGTTGTCTGCCTACAAAGTTATACTAAGATGAATGTTGTCTGCCTACAAAGTTATACTAAAATATTTCTTTTGCTGCATAAAAGGTTTTATTAGTAAGAAAAGTAAAACTATGAAAATCGTTATAATTGCGTTTCTTTTCAGTTATTGTTAAGATGCAGGACCTAAGATTTTAACCTTTTACTTTGTAATTCAAAACGTGATTCAAGTTTGGCATTCCATACTAGCAAACTGCTTTATGCTTCTTACAACAGAACAGAAAAATTACTGTAAGTTTAGAGAAATACCTAGACCATCTTGTTATTTACAACAAACTAGAAGTATTTTCTTAAGTTCGAAATTGGTAACATATTTTACGCGTCTCTATCTCAATTTTCAGTTCTTCATTTTTTATATTCTGTCCTTTGTGTTTAGCTTCCAGAATACAACCGTTAATTCTGTTCAACACGTTTAAAATTAGCATTATCTTATTGTTAATAACCGAAACCTAATATGCACATAATAATTTACATGAAATACATGTCTTTGTAAATAAATAATTAAATTAATCTTTGAAACACTAATGTGAAGGATGTTCACATATTTTGTTTAGAAAAATACCTCAGAATGTTTTATTATTGATAGAATATGTTTATACTCGAAATAAAACCCGTTTATTTTTACTTTCACGTTACTCAATAGTCTCCTGGGCGAGTGAACAGGTTTAAGTGATAAGTAGTAAAACACGACACAAGTTCCACGTTTATCAGACACAGATTTAAATTACATGCATCAGTCAGATAACTTAAATTACGACGAACTGAATATTTCGTAATGTTTTAACTTGGTCGATTTATCAGAAATGGTATTTTTTTTATTTCTTGTGCATGAAACTATATGACAACAAAAGAAATCCGATAACATTATAGCATTCGGAAGAGCTAAGGTCATTGGGATTATTGTTTCAATTTGTTTACTTTTCATCCTACATGATTTATTAATTTCATGAATATATATAAGTGTGTAGAATGTTGGAAGAGTTAAGGTCATTGGGATTATTGTTTCAATTTGTTTACTTTTCATCCTACATGATTTATTAATTTCATGAATATATATAAGTGTGTAGAATGTCAGTTTCTTTTTTTTTCGGATTCAAAATACGATTTAATTTATCTCTTAATCGTCGTATTTGTTGAGGTCTAATCAAAACACGTATGTCCCCCCGGTGGACAACGGTAAGTTTACGAACTTACTACGCTAAAATGCGGGGCTCGATTCCTTGCGCCAGATACAACAGATAGCCCAAAGTGGTTTCGCTATAAAACAAACAAGTATATTTATTGACTAATTTATATACAACAACCAAGTGGTTATTATAAAACCTTTAATTGCGAAAGTTGTTAATACCAATTTCGCGAAGTAATTATACGAAGAGATTGGTGTAATTACAGAAATACATTTAACGTTACGCAGTTATGTTTCTTTAATCACCAAGAAATGTTTTTACGTAAATAACATTTGTTCTAAATATTTTAATTAATCTTATTTTTTGAAATTCATAATAATAATAAATAATGATAATTTAAACACATTTGAAAATTACTTGTGTTTAAAGTTTCTATTAATGGCGGTATGGCAAAATGACATCATTCGAGCTGTCTTAATCAACTTTTAATGGAAATGAATCAGCATATAATCAGAGGCAATTGATAAATAAACAAATAGGTCAGCTGTACACTTAATTCAGTGTTAAGTTTCCAATATTACTTTTCTGTTTTAAGATGTAAAACAAACATTGGCATTGTTTTTTTTACTGATGTTGGATTAGCACCAACTTATATGAAAACTACACTTATAAGTCAGATAAAAAATAAAACAATGTACTGAGTACCAGGAGTTTAAAACAATAAGATAATAATTTCTGAAGTTTTATTCTTGATTAATTATCATAATTATTTATGATTGCATTTATCATGGTAAACGAAAACGCTTTTCAAAACTGTATGAAACAATATCTGGAAGGATATCCTTCAACACATGTCTACGTAGGGGTTATTGTTAGGCCATATTTTCAAGACGTCTACTTTAAGATAATTTCAGGAAAAACTTTATTAAATATCTAAAATTTGCATATTCTGTGCTTACTTATTAGGCTTATAAAATTCAATGAAACTACTTTTCCTTTACAATTATCTATGTAGTGCCCAAGTTTTAAACGTGACGAAGAAGACATTAGATAGTGTTTAAGAAACAAACAAAGCTAGAAACGTTAGGTACGGCACTTTAATAAATCTGACATCAGTTTTAACGACCTATAAAACTGCTATAACGTATAAATATATATAAAACATTTTTAGTTAGAAGAGCTAACAATGAAACCATTCCACGATTTAAGTTAAATTGGCTGATTATACAACTGACTGCGTGACGTGTTTCGTAAAGTCCCTAATTTCTCCTTTAACGTAATAATATATTTAAGAATATATGTTCATTCATCAGGCCTTCTTGAAGGCAAGGACATTTGTTGTAGTTTAGCAGATTGTAAGTAAAACGTACATACACAGTTATTATTTTTTAACAAATGATTTTGCAGGGATATTGTGTAATTATTCTATGCAAATCATGCATTATATATTATTTATATTAAATTATACATAATTCATAAAGATAGGTTACTAAACAGAGGATTTTGATTAGAGATTTGTTAAGGCATATTAATTCTGTTTGTAATACGTACTATACAAAATGGAATCTAATAAATACATTTCTCGACAGAAATGCTTAGATAAATACACTATAATAACAAACTGATCTAGTTAAAACATATAAGTTTAATAAAATCAAATAATTTAAACTAGATAAAATAGATAGAGAACAAAAACAAAAAGAAATAAAACTACCATTTTTATACACAAATTAAAGTCCACAAATCAAACGAAACTTAATCTAGAAGGAAACTCTGTTTAATAAACTTTTCTCACATCGAATAAGTGTTAGTAAAACATGTTTATTAAATTAATTTCTTCTGGTTATAGCCAGGTGGTATTCTATTTTGATTTTCACACATGGTAATAGGGTTAAATTAAACAACCTTGCATTCCTTTTCAAAGCAT